TTGGGCTCTTTTGTAGTAGAATATGTTCCCATTTATCTCGTACCCTTTGTATGTGACGATATGCCATGATGGTTGCATAGCCAATAAATCTGATTGCTCATGGATGCTCTCATCACCTTGACATTTTTTTCGCAACCAACCGCCGAAAGTTTCCATGTGCTTATACGTAATCCAAGCTTCAGTCTTCCCTAGAAACTCGGATCGTAAGAGATCCTTGTGTGTCTCAATATACTGAGATCTACCAAAGAGGTTTCAGAGAAGCGTGTAAAGCGCTTTATTGAAATAATCATCATCCGTACCAATATATGTTTTCCTCCCTAGTGTCCCCTTTCCGCTTAGTCTCCCCTCATGTCTCGATTCAGGAACACCAATCGAGTCAAGGTCGGGAATAAAGTCAACACAGAACTCAATGACCTCTTCTGTTCCATAGCCCTTGGCGATGCTTCCTTCTGGGCGAGCACGGTTGTGAACATATTTCTTCAGGACTCCCATGAATCTCTCTAAAGGGAACATGTTGTGTAGGAACACAGGACCGAGAGTGAAAATCTCCTTGACTAGGTGAACTAGGAGGTGTGTCATAATATCAAAGAGGGAAGGAGGGAACACCAACTCAAAGCTGACGAGACATTGAACCACATCATTCTGTAGTTTAGCTAGATCAGTTGGATCAATTGCCTTTTGAGAAATTGCATTGAGGAATGCACATAGCTTCACGGTGGCTAGACGTATATTTGGAGGTAGAATTCCTCTTAATGCAATCCTGGAAGTAATTGCGTCATGAGAACGTGATGTCATGGGACTTTAAGTTCTGTAATTTCTTCTCTCGGCACATTTATAATACCCTTTATATTCGAGGAGAATCCAGATGGTACCTTGATGTTGTTTAAGCATTCAAACATGATTTCCTTCTCCTCTTTGCTTAGAGTGTAGCTAGCGGGACGTAAGTAATGGCGTCCATCATCCATCTTCTCCGGATGCTGAGTTGTCTCTTTCTCTCAAACAACGAGGTCCTGTCGTGCTTCAAATGTGTCCTTAGGCTTTCCATACACACCCATAAAGCCTAGCAGAGTTCACACAAAGATTCTTCGTCGGGTGCATCACGTCGATCGAAGCTACGGACCTCCAGGACTTGCCAATAGGGTAGGTCCCAAAATATGGACTTCTTCTTCCACATGGGTGCGTGACCGTTTAGCGTCTTTTGGAATAGGTTGGCTTCCATGTCCTTTTCCAAAGACGACTTTCACATCATTGACCATATCGAGTACATCCTCACCGGTTCGGTTGCGAGGCTTGGTCGTCGTGGTCTCGCCTTCCCTTTAAAATGCTTGCCTTTCTTTCTTACGGGGTGATTTGCAGGAAGAAATCGACGATGGCCAAGGTACACGACCTTTCGACATTTTTTCAAGAATACACCTCTAATATCACCGAAGCAAAGTGTGTGCATGCATTATATCCCTTGTTTGGTGTCCCGAAAGATTACTTAGAGCAGGCCAATCATTGATTGTTATGAACAACAATGCTCGCAGATCAAAGTGTTCTGTTTGTACTCATCCCACACACGTACACCTTATTTATTCCACAAAATGAGAAGTTCGTCAATAAGTGGTCTCGGTACACATCGATGTCATTGCCGAGTTGCTTCGGGCCTTGGATGAGCACAGACATCATAATGAACTTCCGCTTCATGCATAACCAAGGAGGAATGTTGTAGATACTTAGAGTGTGAGCCAAGTGCTATGACTACTGTTCGCTCTCCAAAAGGATTGATACCATCTGTACTTAAAGCAAGCCTTAAGTTTCTTGCATCATTTGCAAACTCCGGAATTCTCGTCGATTGCTCTCCACCGGGACCCATCAGTGAGGTGTCTCAACATATTGTCTACCTTACGGTCTTCTTTGTGCCATCGTAACAATTTTGCATGTTCTTTGTTTCGAACAGACGTTTCAAGCGTGGTATTATAGGAGCATACCACATAACCTTGGCGAGGATTTTCTTACGCTGGACGTTCGCCCTCAACATCACTGGGGTCATCTCGCCGATCTTATATGCATGACGCATGGCATAGCGGGCATGCATCCAATTTCTCGTACTCTTTGCCCGCAGATGCGGGATGCGATCATTAGGACATGCATGTATCTTCTCTATTTCTAGCCCCATAGGATGAGACAACTTGTTTTGCTTCGTAGGTAGTGGCGGGCAATTCATTGTACCGGAAGCATCTTCTTTTGGATTTTAGTAACTCTCCAAATCCCTTGTCGGATACACCATTCTTTGCCTTCCATTGCAACAATTCTAGTGTGGTTCCCATCTTTTTCTCGCCTCGCATCACAAGTTGGGTACAACAATTTCTTGTGATCTTCTAGCATCCGCTCGAACTTGATCTTCTCCTTTTCACTTTCACATTCTCTTTGTGCGTCACGAATGACCGGCAAAGATCATCAGTAAGCTCATCTTCTGCGGCTACCTCTTCTTCAGCTTCTCCCATTACAGTATCATTGAAGCACGCACCATCAAGAATAATATCATTGTCGTCCCATTGTTCTTCTTCACCTTCTTCCATTACAACACCGGTTTCTCCGTGCTTTGTCCAACAAATATAGTTTGGCATGAAACCCGACTTGAACAAGTGTGAATGAAGAGTCCTTGAGTAAGGATATTCCACCGTATTCTTACATATGGCACATGGGCAGCACATGAAACCGTCGCGTTTGTTTGCCTCGGCCAAGACGACGTAACAAAAGAATGCACGCCGTCAATGAACTCTTGGGAGCGGCGATCAGCATTATACATCCAATGACGGCTCATCTGTATTACATGACATAAATATTATATTAAAACCTAGATCATAATTAATTATTTATACAACATGCGTGCCACCACAAAAGATACAAATTTATGAAAGCATCGCTACAATGTAGACAATCCCAACTACCACTAAAAGAACTAAAGCTAAAATATATTTCAGGAGCACAAGGATTTCACGACAAATCTCAACTAAAACAGACAGATCCCCCGATTGTGCAACATCTTTGGGCTTCTTGGCTGGATCAACGCCTCATTAGCCGCCAGATTCATCTGTTGTGCAAGATATTTTTGCACGAGTTCAACATACTCTTCCTCCCAAAGAGAAGCTCGAACATCGCCCACCGCCATCCCATTGAAATTAAAACAAAAATTAGAACTTTAATCACAACCATCATGAAAATAGGTATAAACTAACCATAATCATTAAATACGATAAAATAACTCACATTGCGATCCGGACACTTGTAGAAGATACGATCCTTGTTGGGACCCTCCTTCTTCACTCGGTACTCCATCACAATCTTCGTCTCATCACGACACTTGCCGCATGGAATGAGAGGAAGGCCCGGCCTAAGTCGCTTTGGAAACCCATGAGAGGCCGAGGACCCGGAAGCAGTTGCCATCTACTCTCTATACTCATTTTTAATACACTATAAATTTCTCCTTTTATAAACAAATAAAATTAACAAACTATAAAATTATCTAGATCTCTAAACAATGATATTTTTAATGGTCATTGTGTTCTCGTCTTTTACTGCGGCAGGTAAGTAATTCACATGATATTTCCGTAAATTAACAGAAGAATGGGAGTGTACACATAATGCAGGATCATCATGACGATATCGGGACGTGTGAATAAATAACCATCCGTACTAGTTGACCTTGCTTACGTGATCATCTCGGTGAGCATTTCTCCACCGGACGCCACCGTACTTGGTCAAGGAAGAGCTCTGATTCTACGAGGAAGGGAACACGGTCTTCCACGACCGTTGCCGCTCTCTCTCGTAGAATCAAAGCTCCTCCTTGACGTCCGTTACCGCTCGACAGAGAACATGCTCGCCGAGATGAACACGGTCCGCAAGTTCAACTAGTACGGATTTTCTATAATTTTCTAAGTTTTTCATTTCATAAAAAGTTAAAATAAAAAGTACGGTGATTGACAAACTACTGCGACGATATCGGGATATGTGAATAAATAACCATCCGTACTAGTTGAACTTGCTTACGTGATCATCTCGGCGAGCATTTCTCCACCGGACGGCATCGTACTTGGTCAAGGAAGAGCTCCGATTCTACTAGGAAGGAACACGGTCTTCCACGACCGTTGCCGCTCTCCTCGTAGAATCAAAGCTCCTCCTTGACGTCCGTTACCGCTTCGGCGAGAGAACATGGTCGCCGAGATGAACACGGTCCATAAGTTCAACTAGCTACTTTAACCTTCTTTCATGTAAATATGCAAGCTTGAAGTGATTTTGAGCTCAAATTGCTTACAAATGAAAAAAACCACAATAAAGAACCATATATATATATATAGTGAACAAAATGAGATAAGACAATGGTGAAAAATGAGAGTATGAGATTGGTAACCTTTACAACTGAAGAATCGACGGAGAAATCAAAGAAATCGACGGAGAAATCGAAGAATAGATGGAGGAACAATGGAGGGAGGGAGGAAGCAAGAACACTACTGCGGTGAGCTTCAAATTCTGTTTGAGCTCGGGCTCGGGGAGGAAGAAGGAGACGGCCGATATATAAAGGGGACCTTTAGTCCCGGTTGGTGGATCCAACCGGGACTAAAGGTAACTTTCAACCCGAGGCGCAGCTATGGCCGGGAGTGAGATTTTACTCCCGGTTGGATCCACCAACCGGGAGTAAAAGTATCTTTAGTCGGTTGGAGGCTCCAATCGGGACTAAAGGTCCCCGCCACCTGTCTGTCGGCGAGTAGCCGTTGGGCAGGGACCTTTAGTCCCGGTTGGAGCCTCCAACCGGGACTAAAGATATTTCTAGTCCCAGGGGCAAAAAATTCTGGTACTACAGTCCATTTTAACTGAGAATCAAAGGTCTGTTCTCTACTAGTGTGCAGATCATATACTAATGCATGAGTATCGATCATTATAACTCTGAAGTCTGAACACGCCGGTCGGCCTTTCGCCCTTTCCACTACCTGATTGATACACTGCATATGCTGACCTGTCTAGTCGCCGTCCATGACCTTTTCAGGTGCCCGGGCGTGTGGTCCGTGCACGGCGACGGCAAGGATCTTCTCCGGGTCCAGAGGAAGCAGGTTGCCGTCGTTCTTGAGGAGCACTATTCCCTGCCTTGCGCCGTCGTGGGCGAGGCTCCTGTGCTCGTCGGTGCATATGTCCGTCTCGTTGAGGGAGGCGTACCGCGGGATGTTGTCGAAGTATCCCAGCCTCATGAGCGTCATGTACTGGTTCCTCAGCGCGCTGTCGATGTCGGACTCGCGCAGCTTGCCCTGCGCGACGGCGGCCTTGCTGTACTCGCTGAGGAAGTCCCTGAGCGGCCTGCCCTTCTCCTCGATCCAGCTCTCGGCGCAGTCGAGGTCGAGCCCCGCCCTGAGCGAGGCAGCGCTGGACTCGGCGCCGGTGAAGTTGAGCCAGGTGGCGTTGTCCGTCATGACGCGGATGGCGTCGCAGTCGGAGACGATGTAGCCGTGGAGCTGCCAGTCGCCGCGGATGGTCCCGGAGAGGAGGCGCGCGTCGGCGCAGGCGGGGATGCCATTCACGCGGTTGTAGGAGCACATGACGCTGCTGGCGTCGCCGTCGCGGACGCACATCTCGAAGGGCCGGAGGAAGGTCTCCGCCATGTCGCGCTCCGAGACGCGCGCGTCGAACTTGAACCGCGTGTGGTTGTGCCAGTCGTCCACGTCGTACGCGGCGTAGTGCTTGCAGCAGGCGGAGGTCTTGATAGGGCGGGTGGACGGGTCGCCGCCGCTGCCGGTGTCGTGGCCGGGGATGTCCTGCATGCCCCGGACGAAGTTCACGGCGTAGCGGCCGGCGACGAAGGGGTCCTCGCCGGGGGTCTCGAGGGCGCGGCCCCACCGCGGGTCGCGCACCACGTTGATGTTGGGGCTCCAGTACGTCAGCCCGCCCTTGCCAAGGTTGTACATCGCACGTGCCTCCGTCGAAACAGCCTGCATTCATCCATATACCATCAGATCTGCTATTAGTGTATATAGTAGATCTAATGTTTTGATCTAGCTACAAACGCTCGAAATGCCGACGGAAATCGAAATGCAAATAAGACGTACAGATGCAATGCCGATCTGTGATGTGCATACATATGCATGTTTCTATTGAGACATGGTAACGTTGGCAGCACAAAAGAAAAACATTATTGTGAAGATCGATCGAAATGTACACATATATACCTGTCCAATGGACTTCCAGAGCGTCTCGTTGAAGGAGGCGGCGCTGTTGATGACGTTGGCGAAGACGGTGGCGTTGTTGACGGTGGCGCGGCCGGAGTGGTTCCCCGGCTTGCTGTGGAGGTCGTCGAACAGCGCCGTCGGGCCGGTGCTGGAGATGCCGTGCAGCGCCTCGGACCACCACTTGTAGGGCGTCAGGCCGACGCGAGGCGCGCCGTGGGATATGTCGCCGAGGTTGCCGACCTTCTCCTCCACCGTCATCCAGCCGATGAGGTCGCGCACCCGGTCCGCGTACGGCAGCGACGCGTCGCAGTAGGGGAACGCCGACATGTTGAGGCCCATCTCCGCGAACCGATCCGCGTCGCAGACCTTTGTGTACGCCTTGCCGAAGCTGGTCACGTTCACGGTGGTGGTGGTGGAGGAGGAGGCCATGGGGATGGCGGTGCTGCACAACAGCAACACGGCGAGGACGACGAGGAGATGGGACGGGGACGCCGCCATTGTTGGGAGGGAGACCTAACCACTAGCTAACGTGGTGCTGCGCGATGGGTTTGAGTGCACACTAGTGGGCAACATATATAGAGAGAGCTAGCTAGTAGATCGATAAGAGTCAGAGACGGGCGAGAGGGAAATGGGCGGGGTCGCAGCAAAGTTTTAAAATTCGGAGCGGTCTTTCGTTTCGAATAAGGATGAGTCATCCACCGATTGCGTTCGTGCTCTTTGGATAATGATGAATCTGTTTTAGATAGAGAGAATCAAGGAGAGGCGGTTGGAAGGCATACGTGATTGTGAATGCCGACGAAAATGGTTGTCACTGAGTTCATGAGAGAGGACGTTACTTCGGCCTCACGGTTTTCTTAGGATTTTATTAAAAAATAAAATCAGTAGCGCGCGCACTACATCAAGTTGATATTGATACACGGTTTTGAAGAAGTTCTTCCAAGCTCTGCCTAACAAGAAGCACATATGGCCAACAAAAAGAGAATAAGAAGAAAACATTATAGTGATCATCAATCCATATATTAGTCCGTCACCGATATATCTAAAAAAGAAGTCCTTAATTAGCCACTAGCAGCAACGGTTGCGAAGCCACCATAACTAAACCCTTGTGAATCCAATTTATGAAGAATAGGCTAAATATAGAGCCAGTGGATGATTGAATGTATAACTTGCAAAGGAAGAATAATATATATTTTTCAAACAATAAACCATTTCCGTGTAACCAAAGCAACCAGCATAACACGGTCACTCCTAACAGGATAAATGTTTTAATCCTTTACTAAAATCCACCCAACTAAGAGCATCTCCAACGGTACCCAATAAACCTTCCCAATCCATGATTTTTGGCAAAAATGAAAAAAAAGCTCATCTCCGATAACTCCCAAACTCACCTCACAATCTTTTAGCACTTGGAAAAAACCCCCACACGCGTAAAGATGCACGGACTCTAGGTCGCATGTATCTAAGTTTCCTCGCACAGTCTCCTTCTTCGCGCTGAGTTTTCCCGTGGGCCTTCTTCTTCGTGCCTTATCCCGCCGCCGTGGCCAGTCGGAAGACGCTCCCAGCCAGCTGTGGCCGGCCGGGAGAGGCTGGCGGCCGGCTGTGGCCTCCTCATGGCAGCTGGGCGAGGCTGGCTGCCGGATGGGAGGCACTGGCGGCCGGCTAGGGTGCCCTGGTGGCTGGCTGCCGCCGGCTAGGGGCTGGCCCGGGTCGGTAGAACTGTGCAGGTCAGCGGTGGCAATGTAGATGCAAGGAGTGAATTATTGTAAACTGTTGGAGATGGTCTTATTTATTTCTTCCAATACTTTTTTTGGAGTTAGAAAACACCATGTTTTTTGGAAGAAATTATTGGGTATTCTTAGAATGCTCTAATTACCCAACATATTTCATGTTACGAGGTTCTGGTCGTCCTAAACTTATATCTATTATTACAAATATTAAAGTGCCAAAAAAATTTCCCCTTTTTTGGTCCGGCTCTCTGCTAACTCCGTGAATGTGAAACTATCTCTGTTTGTTTGTCTACGACCTCTCCTATTTTATATTACATGCATTGCTTGGACATAGGTTTTTGTGTAACCTGGATAGTTACGAATTCTAATCAAATAGATCTATCTGATCATGAGTAAGATGGGTAAGAATCTTAGTCCAAATAGAAAATGATTAAAGTAGAAATTAAAAATAATATCTTGCCCTAACATTAAACTAAGAAGAGTTTCTTATTTTTGTTTTTTTCTTTTCAGGAATTTCTCGATTAAGCCCAGGCGACTTTCTTTGTTTTTTCGTGTGCGTCCAAACCCACAATGCATGCGTGCCGTTATCTGTTTTCTAAATCCGTCAGATCCGTCAGAGATGCGTGAGCGTCTCCGTCCTAGCATGTCCCTTTTATTTCTGTGTTCATGCGAGCGTTCTTTTTTTCCCCTGTCCCCGTGAGCATGTATGATTTTTTGCCCGCGCTTGTCTGAGGTCTGGTTTCGTTGATTTTTCTTTTCATCATGGGCCTTTACATTCTGATGACTCTTCTCTATGAAAATTTCATTACCAAGTTGTTGAGGTACCTTTTATTAAGAGAACAATTTTTTTTTTATATGAGAACTTCCTTGTTGAGCCTTGACTCTTTATTTCATTACCAAGTTGTTGACGTCAATTTTATGAAGAACAAAATCTCCAATATCTCTTATCTTTAAAACAACTAAAGAGTGAACACCGTTTTGGTGCGACGTTCCAACTGCGTTCATGCTCGTCTCCCTTGTGCAGGAAAGAAACGTCGCTCCGGGCAGGAAAGAAACCTCGCTCCGCGCCGCGGCCGCACGCGCCCCCTACGCCGTCCGTCTCCCTTGCAAGAAAAGAAACGTCGCTCTGGGAAGAAAACAAAACCCGCTCCCGTGATTCTGGCCGCGCCCCCATCGCGCCCACCCTGCGCCCGCGCCCGCCCGCAGCAGGCCGCGCCGCTGCCGCACACGCCCCATCCTCGCCCACGCCCGCCCACAGCAGGCCGCGCCGCCGCCGCACGTGCACCATCGTCGCCCGCGCCCGCCCTCATCTAGGCGCGCCGCCGTCGGCCACGTAGAGCTGGGGAACCCCGTCTAGCCTTCTCGGGGCTCCGTGCGTCGCTCCTCGGCGTCCTCGCTCTCCATCTCTCTCTCGCGCGCGAGGGCACGGGCGCATGCCCGCACCTGCACGGGCACGGGGGTCTCGTCGACTGCGACGGGGAGCGACGCGACCGCAAAGGCGGCCTCGATCTAGCAGCGGCAGCATCCCCGGGCCCCGACGTCCATGACGAACGTGGAGGCCAAGGTCGAGGCACGGGAACAGCGAGCACCTCCGGCGCCGACCAAGGTCTGTCATCCGGAGCACGGAGGTAGGCTCCACGGCAACACGCAGGTCAGCACCGGACCACAAATGAGTTGATTTGAATGTTACAAGAAACAGAAATTAGCTCTGTAAACAAAACAAGGACATTAGCCACTTCTCATTTGTTTTCATTCTTTTGACATACAGAGGTAACGATGGTGAGCCAAGATTGGTTGTGAGGACAGTAGTTCAAAGCTGTCAATTCGAAGCTACTTATGCTATCTGATGTGGCAGGTCTATAAAACCATACAGCTCTTTGCAAGTTCATAATTCTTCGCTTTCCCTTTCTCTCCCCCTGCGATACGATTAATTTATTTATGATTCGATTACCCCGGCACTGTCCCCGGCCGCGTTGCCTCCTTCGTCGGCATGCACATGGATGTCGTTCCTGCCAACGGCAGTGAGTGGGTTGGTCCTCGTGAATTTTCTGCTAATCGTGGCTATATTTTGTTTGGTTATCGTCGTTCTATACCCACCTTTATCGATTTTGTTTATCATCAGTTTATCACTGGCAACATGGCCAGGTGCTAAATTTCAGCATATTGTTGAATGCGATTGGATTTACTGACGTAAAATTTGCACAACTTTTCAGCGTTGTGATCATTAGTGGAGTGCTTCGGTAATAATGGTTGTTATTGTACAATTTTTTATTTATGGAGTTTCTTCACACTAGCATGCTTTGCTTCGTCGATTTGTCTCTGTAGAATGAGTCAAATTGTTTCAGTACAGGGGTAGGTTGTAACTAATCAGTGGGACCATGGCTGCTACTCAAATTCTCATATATTGGTAGATGTGATTGGCTCTGTTAGTGTAAAAATCTCTTCTTTTTTTTTAAGTTTTTCAACAGCATGATGAGGTTGGGGACTCAAGCGGGCTTCTTGTTTCTGGTATCTTTAGTGCTAACAAAATATCTGGTATTGACAAGGTCACAACCATCGCTCAGAAAGAGGGTCTGAAGACTGCAGTGCTCGGTCATTTCCTAGCACTTGTGGCTCAATTACTGAAGGCAGAAGGCATCGGAATGGGAAATGATGGTGGGTCCACAAAAATGGTTTGATATTGTGTCAACCTTAACCTGGATAGTTACGAATTCTAATCCAAATAGATCTATCTGATCATGAGTAAGATGGGTAAGAATCTTAGTCCAAATAGAAAATGATTAAAGTAGAAATTAAAAAAAAATATCTTGCCCTAACATTAAACTAAGAAGAGTTTCTTAATTTTGTTTTTTTTCTTTTCAGGAATTTCTCGGTTAAGCCCAGGCGACTTTCTTTGTTTTTTTCGTGTTCGTCCGAACCCACAATGCATGCGTGCCGTTATCTGTTTTCTAAATCCGTCCGAGATACGTGAGCATCTCCGTCCTAGCGTGTCCCTTTTATTTCCGTGTTCGTGCGAGCGTTTTTTCCCCTGTCCCCGTGAGCATGTATGAATTTTTGCCCGCGCTCGTCCGAGGTCTGGTTTCGTTGTTTTTTCTTTTCATCATGGGCCTTAACATTCTTGATGACTCTTCCCTATGAAAATTTCATTACCAAGTTGTTGAGGTACCTTTTATTAAGAGAACAATTTTTTTTATGAGAACTTCATTCTTGAGCCTTGACTCTTTATTTCATTACCAAGTTGTTGACGTCAATTTTATGAAGAACAAAATCTCCAATATCTCTTATCCCACGACTAAAACGACTAAAGAGGAGACACTGTTTTGATGCGATTAAAACTTCGCCTCACCTTCCTGCCCTCCGCGTGCGATCCCGCAAGCACTACGTCGGTCTGCCTGCGTGCGATCCAACGCCCGCCTGCCCCCATGCCCCCCGCACACCACACCGCACAGGTTGGATTCCCATCCCTCACCCCATTCGTGCCGCCGCTCCTCCCCTTCCTCTCGCCAACGCTGCCACAGCGAGACCTACGCTTGGCCGGGCGACGCACGTGCTGTGCCTACATAGGCCGGCGACGGCTGGGTGGGGCGGCGCACAGCAGTGGGAGGCGCAGGTTCGGGGCTGGTGGCCGGAGACCGCCCAGAATCCTAGGATGAGGATGCCGCCGCCCGTAGTGTGTACAGCTCCACGGCGCGGTTAACAAGGTGTGACATATTCTGCCGTTCCCGCTTACTACTATAGGCTTATGCTTATTAGGTGCTCGACAATACGTTTCTTCTAGGGGTCACTGTAGCAGAACATCTTAATTGTTGTTTGATGTTACCGCAATTCTTCACTAAGTTTCTTTTATAGATGGTATTTGACTAGACTGATCTAGTAGTATCAATCGTTTCTAATGTTGTTTGTTCTGCTGATCTGCCTATGCACCCTTTTCTCTTTATCTCCTTGATCTGCTAGAAACGGTAATGTGCATTGGAGAGCTTGTGATGACTAATATGACCACTATCTACCTTTATTGCTGTAAAATAAATAAAACTATGGTGTATCCGTAAGACTGTAAAGAATTACCATTTCAATTGTTCTATTTTTTAGTAGCAAACTGCAACCATATGATGTATGTTGTTGTTTCTATGATTTTTCTTTTGAAATTCTTAATTCTGAAATTCACACATTTTCTTTTCTATTGACTTTTCAAGCCCGAAGATGCTGCTAAGCAAATTAACATGTGGGTCAAAGAATCCACAAAAGGTACTGTTACCTAGCTCCTTCCGGATGGATTAATTGACCAGAATACATGACTTGTTATTGGCAGTGCACTGTATTTTAGGGGAAGATGTCTTGATCGGACTGATATTAGGAGTATTGCAGTACAAAAGTTCTGTTGTCTGGATGGAACTTGTGTTGACGTCACTTTTGTAGAATATGATTGTCGGTACAGAAAGTGACCAACTAGTGAATATTTGTAGTTTTGCTGTACGTTGTGATCGGAGGTGGCCTAGCACTCAATGACGCAGGATATATACTGGTTCAGGCAATGTGCCCTACGTCCAGTCTGGGTCGGTCGATGACTTTATTCCTGAGCCCAGATGCTCGAAGTCTGTAGTGGGGTTACAAACGAGAAGGAGAAATGAGGGGTGTACGAGAGGCCCGTGGACCGAGAGAGTTAGTTTAGTTAGTTTAGGAATCGGACGAGCCGGAGCTCGTGGACCCCAAGTGAAGTCGTTACGCGAGTTTAGGAGCCACGGTCCCATGAGCCGTAGCCGGATGTCATAGATCCTGTCAATGCGAGTTCGGAGTCGCGGTCCCAAGAGCCGTAGCCGGATGTCATAGATCCTGTCGACGCGTGTTCGGAGTCGCGGTCCCATTGGAGCGCAGTCGGAAGTGAAGCCGTTTTGAAGCCGAAGCGTAGTTAGTTTGGTTAAAGATCGGACAAGGCGATGCTCGCGGATCCTGGCGTCGGTGCGCGCTGTGGGACCGGGCGAGTCGGAGTCGTGGATCTAGTGAGTTCGAGGTCGCCGTCCTTGGCGTTTTATCTTGAGCCCCCGAGCCCTATCGGGCCTTTTGTGGGGGTCGATGTGAGTATTGTGTGTTACCCCATCCTCGGTTCCTCACAACCGGAGGGGCTGAGTTTCGTCGCCTGTCCCGATCGCTGGGGCTTGAAGACTAGCTCGGTGAGTTCGTTAACGGGTGTGATCGAGTGGAATCTGGGTCCGTCATTCGTGAAGGGGTCGGCATAGCCCTCTTGTGACATTGCACTACTCCTTTACCTACAACCCGACAGATGCCTATGTCGTTCCGGAGACCGACCCGGGTGGCCTAACGGCCTCCCCTTCGATGGAGATTTTGTGGGCCTGGCGAGAGGTTTAGGATCGAACGAGAAGGTTGAGATGACCCGGTCTGCCGGACCAGGCTAGGGCCGCACGGTGCTCATCTACGGTTTTCTCCCCTGGCTCTGTTGGTTGCCCATGTCAAATGAGGCAACCGCCGCTTCGTGACGCAACACGGAGCGTTCTGGTGCATTTCGCCGCACGTGCGATGCTTAGTTCCTGAGCCCCCGGGCGGTTCATGCCCTAACCGTCCGGGTGGTTCAGGCGTATGAAATGAATGCGCGTATGGATGTATGAATGATTTATAAAGAAATAGAGGGGGGTTTTGGTAACGTTTACCTTGATGACTAGAGTGACGGGGCTCGGAGAGCTTCAGTCGGAAATGTCCGACCAGGACCCGCGCTCGTCGTTCGTGATGGAGTCGGCATGGCCCACATAGGGCGTCCCTTCGCTTCCTACCCGTGTCTCCATGTTCATCCTGAGCGATTCGATCGGCTTGGGGGATCGGTTGGTCTCTCGGCGGAGATTTTGTTTTTTGGTCTCCCCAGGCCTAGCCTGGGGAGGAGGGAAGCTACCCGCGTGTGGTGACGCTTCGGTTTCTGTGCCCATCGTGTGGTAGTGGATGATCGTGTGGTAGTGGTGGGCCACGGCCAGGCCACGTCCCGTCTGATCAGGAGCCGTTCCATCGAGCTGGGCACGTCTCATCGGTTCAGGGCACGTCTCATCTGCATTAAATGGGAAAGAGAGAAATTCTCGCTCCGCCATTCTGCCTCCCGCGATCGGAGCGTCCTTCCTTGACCGTTGTTCTCTTTCCTTTAAGTAGGAGAAGAGAGAGGCTGTTTGCTTCGTTCTTTTGCCTATTCGTCGTCTGCTGCCACCGCCTTTCTTTTTCCTCCTCGTCGAGAGCATCTTTGAGAGTTGCGAAGGTTTCTAGGAAAGGAAGGGGGAGAGAGTGAGGGAGAAGAGGAGAACTCACCGATCCTTTTGCGATCTGGAGCGAAATGTCGGACTGGCGATCATCCACCGTGAGGAATTCGGTGCTGGAAGCTTTCGTCGCGAAGGGGTTCCTACCGCCGTAGGAGGTGGCGCACTGGAGGGTTCCCGGGAAGGAGGAGTCCCCGCAACCTCGTCCCGATGAGGTGGTTTCTTTCCTCACTTTCCATGAGTGCGGACTAGGGTATCCCGCGCACTGGTTCCTGCGCGGGCTCCTCAACGAGTGGCGTCTGGAGCTATAGCACCTCAACCCAACGGGGGTGCTGCACATCGCTGGTTTCATCACCGTCTGCGAGGCTTTCCTCGGGATGGAGCTGCACGTGGATCTCTTCCGGCTTTTCTTCTCCGGGAGAGCTATGGCGGACTGGAGTTCGACCGAGATCACGCCGGTCGGAGGCTTCGCCCTACAGAGGAAGCCGTGTGCAGGAGGCTCGTATCCCGCATACACCCCATGTGACTCCAACCGGGGATGGCATGGGGAGTGGTTTTATATCCAAAATCCAGTGGGGGCGCCGTTTCCAGTGTTTACCGGTGGGAGGCCGGTGAAGCAGAAGAGTTGGTTGTGGGACTGCGCCCACGCGGAGAAGCACAAGGTGGGGGTCATCGAGGAGGAGCTGCGGAAGCTCGTGAGGGGCGAACTCGATAGGGTGCAGGTGTTCCACACCCTTTACCGCCACCGGGTTGCGCCGCTGGCGGAGAGGACGCACCCGATGTGGACGTACGGCGGCCGGTCGGACCCGGACCGCATGTCGCCGGAGGATCTACCGGACGACGAGATCTGGAGCCACATCGGCCGAGTGCTGCAGCTAAGGCCCGGAGAGACGGTTGAGGGAAAGCCCATACCGTTCAATGCCTCGATCGTGCCCACGCTGGTATGCTCTTTGTTCATGCTCTTTCTCTGCTCCTTTCCCTTTTCTTTGATTTTGGTTCTATCATTCCGTAGGGGCTCGGGAGGTACAAGTCCCGGCCGCACCTTCCTAAGGGTCCGGAGGGCCGACCCGGCAAGCCGCCCAGAAGGAGGTGGCCGACGCTCGAAAGAAGAAGAGGACCCAGGAGGTGCAGCAAAAGGAAGAGAAGAAGAAGGAGGTCGCCCGGCGCGTGAAGGCCATGGAACGTAGGAGCGACGTCGAGTCGGAACTTGCGTCGGACGATCCTACGGACTTGGATGACATGGTCTTCTCCGACGAGGAGGAGAGTCGGGAGGTCGTTGTGACCTCGGTGGTGCGTCGCGACCCTGCGGCAACGTCCGTCGGTGAGGAGCAGGAGGCCGTGCGGCGCGCAGAGGTTCCTACATCGCGGTAGCGTGTGGTGAGCGCGGATGCCGTTGGTGAGCGAGCGGTGAAGCGGACGTGGTCACTGCG